CCCTGGTAGTTGTTTTTTATTTACACATTAATTTACAAACCAATAATAATTATAATTACTTAATACTATGAAAATTATTTCTGATACTTCATTAATTTAATAAATTTTCATGCAGCATCAGGATTATATCCTAGCAACAAGATATCAAATGCAAGAACTTGTAAGTTTATGTGAATGGTTTGTTTTCATAATATGCTATATCGCACCCACCAAAGTGTGTTCAGTGATTATTATTATTATTATTTATTGACTATTTACATACATTTTTTTTTTAATTTTAATTTTTTTTAATATTACAGTCAGTTGTATCAGAACTCTTGATTGTGTTGTAGTGATTGATGAACGTCACTTAAAACTTAAAATACCGATTTTTACAACAGTTTTATATTAAATAATTTTATTCAAGGGTTGGCAAATTATTATTATTTTTGTGTCCTTTGTTTGTCCGAGTAGATTGCTTTATAAAACCCATGCTACATCATTTGAAGCCATCTAACTTAATGTTTTTTATTGCATTTAATTTTTTTTTTACTACTTAATTTCTAAAATATTTTAAATGAACCTAATTATTACTATCACTTTTATCACTTTACATTTTTGTGGCTAAAAATATTCATAATTGTGTTCGTAATGACAACATTTTGGACCAATGCAAAATGTTTGCTGCTGCAAAAATTCAAAATTTCCTTTGACTGACATAATTTCCTTGTTTGTGAAGATTATAGTGGTTAGCAGTATCCTTATTTAAAACTGAATATGAAGTTAATAATGCATTTTTACTATAATAGTTTAGGATCAGTTTGTTATGTGACCTACTCAATCTCAGTATTGATTGTTATTGCTGTGGAACATATGTTCCATAGCGTTAACAAAAAATGCGAAGTAGTTTAATTATTTTAGCTGGAATTAATTTTCGCTGACTTTTTGGGTGATTTGTATGATTTTTGATGAGTTGAAGGTAAAACATAGAAAAAAAGGTATATTCGGTGGATTTTATTTTCACTGAATAATCCCTTCAGTAGTGAAATAGCGAAAATAAATTACAAGCGAAAAATTACAAGTATTTTACAGTAGGTGTAATGCCATTGGTAAAGAGTTCTTAAGGTTAATGACCTCGGGTAACATTTACATTCTTTATGTCTTTAACAAAAAAACACTGAACCTATATATTGTCACGTTTATTTTCTGTTGTCACCTTTTCATACCCATGCATATATATACTAATTACGACATTTGTATTGGAACACACGTCTACTACAATTAACCTACCTTTGACACGTATCATTGCGTATTTGACGACCGTGATAAAGGTAACCAATGCAAATAACTGTAAACAAAAACACATGTTGTCGCTGTATAAGGCCTTCATTTCAACAACTGTTTTATTTCTTAAAGTGCGTTCACTTCAGAAAAGTTCTTCTTTCATTCGTTGTTAAGATGGCCTTTTGCTGCTTTCTATGATGTGACATTTGTTCTTTTGTCAACAGTAGTGGGTGGCAATGCATTGTCATGTACAGAATAGATTATAGTTTTAAATGACTGTGACTGATTCTTAGATTTACTAGGATGCTATCCAGTTCGACCATGCTAGTTCATGCTAGCATCAATTTATTATTTAATGTCCATATGCTGTATAGTCCCCATTGTTACAGAAAACAAAATAATTTCTGATAGATCATTAAACTTCCTCTGTCTGCTATTTGTTAGACTAATTATATTTGAGTTATTCATCGAAAAAATGAATAAAAATTTTTTGAATAACAAATTGTTTATTAAGGATCATCACATACTTGTGGACTTTTACGATTACAAAAATAAAAAAAAAAAAACTGCCAGCAAATAAATAATAAATTGAAATAAAATAAATTAAAAGAAAGTGTACGATTATTAAAAACATATTAAGAAAAAAGGCCCAAACTAGGATCTTATTTCAATCTGATTGGTACTCTATTTGCACTATGAGAAGCTCACATTTGAAATGAAAATTGGATCATTAAAATATTATTTATAGACACACCACTGTCATTTATGTAAGTGCTTCTCATAGAACAAATATGGTACATGTGTTTTGAACATACACACCTTTGTCATATACCGATACAAATACATTGCTAATAGAGCAGATGTTCTACAGTATTTTATTATAAAATATTTTCCAAAATTCTTGTTAGAGTGAGTTACAATTATTTAAATAATCAAATTCCAAATTACCGTAATTAATCTTGTAACCAATTAATAAGTACTAAAGATATGTGGAATTGACCTATATTCCTTGCTTCATGCAAGGCCATTGTATATTTGAAACTATTACAATGGATGTGTGTTAATTATAATGTCTCTTGATGAACACTAATTAGTCCGGATCATATATAAGTAAAATAATTAGTTCTCATTAATCACAATATCACTAGTAGTACCTTAATTAATGATATTTCTAGATAAAATGACATCTCACATGTACTATCTATAGTGTAATAGAAACCCATAAATGTACTTCACTGTTTATAAGAGTACAATTGTCTGTGACCTTTCTGAACACCGTATACTTTTACCTGCTTAGTGTTAATGACAAACAGTATTTCATATAAAATAATTACTCTCAGAATGTTTTTCACAAACAGGTAATAATCAATGATCTGAGACTATTCATTTGATATTCAATACTACACAAACATAAAAAGACAAAGTCATGTTTAACTGAATCAGCAGTCCAGTTCACGTTAAAATTTGAATGGAGTTTACCAAATGTTACAAGTGAAATGTTATTCAGCCATTGTTTGGTAACCTTAGTTACCCAGATTTGTTGTCGGTCAGTGAAAACAAATTAGTTCAATGTATTAATATGAGTACCACCTGTTTTCTACAGAGAAATAAGTCTGTGTCACTAAATTTATTGACCAATTGAGATATTCTGAACGGTGTTTCCTTGACCCTCCTTCAGCAGTTAGCAAGGCAGTTACTTCCTGCTAATTCAGTGTTAGATACTGTACATTTCTTTCTCAGTTTTGTATTAATTAATTTATATATAATATTGCTCATTACAATATATATTAAGTGTGTAATTATGAAGTCCATATTTCTATTGTTTTCATGTAACCCGAGGCTTTGCAGTACATATGGCTGTCCTTATGGTATATCTGAACCAAATCACTGTAATCCACTTTTATTTTCTGAAGGGAATGACTAATTTAATAACAGTGAACATTTCATTGGATCTTTAAGTCACAGCCGGTATACTGGTACATCGATAAATTATATAAACTTATCTTATCAAAAAAACTTAACAGTGATGAAAATTAACTAATTTAATACAGTATTTTTTAGTATTTTGCATTAAAATTATATTATTTTATGTAGATCCCTATAGTTTACTGATGTTTCATTAAAATTCATAATTTTATTGGCACACCATTAGAAAATCTGGTTTTGGAGTTAGTAGAAGAGATTTGTTTTTCCTCACTTTTTGAAGTGTTATTGTTTCTATTGTTTCTTTGGTTTACACAAATCAATAAATCACAATTTGGCTTTTCATTGGGGCTCAAAATGGAGTGTCGTATAAATTCATTAGTAATTATTTATTTATATAATGTTCATTCAATATTTAAATACTGAGTATTATATTATCGTCTCATATTTTTGATTCAGTGATATATTTAAAAAAAAAAAAATAGAATTCCCTCAATAAAATGAAGCCTACTGTAGCCTACTGTTGGTTAGCCTACTGTAGGTCTTCCCTGTCATATGGTATCTCTTTCTCTGATCAATTCATTAAAATATCATCACTATATCTAATTTACATAAAGAGTAGAAAGAAAAAATAATCTAGTTTAATTTTATCAGATTTGATGTTAAAGGGATATTCACTAGGTTTTTTAAACAAACAAAACATTCCATTATTAAATTGAAATGTTCACTGGTTTTTAATTTAACACTTTCAGTGAAATAGGTTAAAATAAAATATAATAATTTTAAATTTTACTTTAATATGCATATTCGAGTTTTAATTAGCAATATAATAATATTAAAGTTAGAGATGCATTTCAATTTAATATATTCTCCTTGCTTGATTGTGAAATTAGTTGATGACCCATGCTTAAAATAACAACACTATTCTTTAGTAACTCAACTAAAAACTCACTCACTCTACATGTGCACATTAGTTGTCATTAATAAACTGTATGTTATCATAGTAGTATACACTAATAGTACATGTTTAGAGCATGTATTTTTTTCACACTTCTTTCTTTCTGTATCATGCACACTGTGGGACTATTAATTATTTAATAAAGGATTCAGAAAGCAATTGAATAATGCAAACTAGCCATTTCATCTCAAGTTTGGACAGTATCAGTGGAAGAAGTGCTTGAAATTGGTAATTTGAAAATGAACAATCAATTTTGAAAATTTGTGTATCTTCAGTAATATGGAAATGTTTTCTTCCTGGAAATTATTCACATAATTGCATAGACACCTCTTAATTAATCATATTTTTTATCATTTTGTTTTATTATACTTTTATTTATTAATTCAAGATGTGCAATTTTAATGTTATATTGTGTTTTGAGATCTCTAGTAATACAGGTGTATGTATTTGTTTTTAAAATTAGCAACTACAAGTTCAAGATGACATTATATTCGAGACATTTACACACCAAAATGGTCGTGATTACCCATGTATCGTTCAGCAAGGTCAAAGGTTTTATTTAGACTCCTGGGAAACACAGGTAAGCAACACAATATATTTGACATGGTGTCTATCTAACCTGCAAGTATTCAACTTCAAAATAAGTGAAATCTGTGAAAATTTGTACATATATACACTGGTACTCGTATTAAGCTGGGGAGTCTAAATGATAGGGATTGAAAGATTGGTGAGCTAGGGAGCCATAAACAGTTTCTTGTTGCCATAGTAATAAGATCTTTTCATATGGAATGTTTGGTATTGCAATCAGGAATTGATTCATATCCATTGAAAAATAATCTGTGTTTTGTATATTAGTTTTACAAAATAAATGTAATCGAGAATATTGTTTTTTAGTAAGGACCATCATTTTTTATGCAGTGTTCTATTGTCAAATTTTCCATTCTAAAATCTTTGCATTATTCTATTATTCTAGACCATACCAGACCATTCCACTAATCACATAATTTGATTGAAATTCATTAAAATATATATATATATATATATATATATATATATATATATATATATAT